TTCCGGACCGATAAGACTTAGGAACCTTCAAAAAGCGAGCCTACTCCTTTTTAAAAGCTGGCAATGCACCTGTAATTCCCCTGGTGTTGTATTTCAAGTTAGCCGCATGATCCTTTGTTCCCCTCTTCTATATAAAAAGACAATGAAACGAAGTAGACAATTATCTTTAACAATGTTATATTTATGTTCTGGAAGTGGGAGTAGTTTTTGTGATTTCAGTTCGAACCGTTCGCGGTCAGGAGCTAAAAAGTTAAAACTCGGAAATTCCTTTTACAACAACAAGGATAGTACATAAATTTTCAAACGTCATCCTTGGAGGCTCAGGGGCCCGTTTAGCTTGGGGGCACTGGGTAGCTACGCCACTGACCGGAGCTCTTGTTTCATCGTTTCCACTAATAGTTCACATGCGCAGAATTTTAATACACAAAATCGTACTACTTCTAAATATCAAAATCCACTTCAAACCATTATTTAAACAATAATACAGAAGTAGTAATCCACCGCCGGTCGATTTCCCGCCAAAACTCAATGTCACATTACATTAACAAAAAGCATAGACACGTTTTTAACACGTTGACTTGGTACGGCTTGAAATATTTTTATGAACTTTAAATGCTTGAGCGAATTATCATATTATGGTTCAAGTTCAACATAGAATGAGGGCTGATAATCTTCCACTCACTAAATATTGCCAGTTAAGATTGAGGTGAAGTTATTTATTTTATTACACAATGTCATTTTTATTGAGAAGTATGCTCTTCAGGTAAAAGTTTATCAGTTTTTTTATTTTTTTTATAATGTACAACAACAATGCAAAGTTTGATACATCCTTTCTGGCTGAAGATCTTGTCTTAGTACCTGTATTATTGTTTAAACAATCATTTGTAGTGGATTTTTGATATTTGAAAGTAGTACCATGTTGTGTATTAAATGTCTACGCATTTGAACTATTAGTGGAAACGGTGAAACAAGTTCTCCAATGGTGATGTAAATCTCAAGATAAGGTGTCTGTCTGCTTCGGCTCCTTGAGATACTATCGCTAACTGTCAGCTGTCTCGAGTTGCCATCAAAATCTCCCAAAAACTACGCAATGTGATGTATCAACATATTGTGAAGCAATGTAATATAAATGATTATTATCACTTGATACTGAGATTAAATGAAGTCATGTCTTGAAAGACAAGCATCCAAGCCAAAAATCTTAATAAAAATGACGCTTCTTGATGTTGACGCTTGACGTTTCTCTTGTCATCGCTTGTCCCGACTCTAGAGTAGGGATGTCGGTGTTGTAGAAACATGGATGATGACATGGATGTTCGATGTTTATCCTACTCATATCATGGATCTTTTTTGCACACGTATTTAATAGGTTATAATTAGATGAACATAACTCTCTCACGGACCTCTCAAACAAGCTTTCGGCCGACCTAAACCGCCTCCTGGTGGCTCAGGCCGAATCTTCTCTCCGCCCTTAATTTGCCTAAGTTGGCTACCCTTTCAGCGGCGCTTTGACGCCTGTGCCCCCTTTTTCCTAAAGAGGGTCGCTTCCGATTCGGCATAAAGGCCACAAAAGCCAATGCCAGTCTGACAGGTGGTGGTTAGTGGGTAGGCACTTAGGTTAGGTTAGTCGCAGTGAGTCCCACATAACCATGACAGCCGGCTGTCGTGGTATGCTTAGAGCATTCACGACCTCCCTTCCTCGCTTTCTGGAGGGTAGCCCTTTCCATTGCATCTGGGCGCAAAAAAAATGAATAAAAAAATTCTCATGTTGTTTATGTATAAAAGAAATTAATAAACAATGTAGTCTAAAATATTAATTTAAAAAAAATTGGAAGAAGTTTACAAATATCTTGTTCATTTGTCCAATAATTTTGCCGACTGATGAAGAAATAGTAATTTTGACAAAGAAGAACCTTTCAATCTGTTTCTCTGTTGATAAAGAGTTGAGCCAGTTATTGAAAATAATTTAAAAATAAAATTTTGCATGCCTTAAGCGAAAGCGCAAGGTATGTTTTACTATCGCCTAAAAATTAAGATTCTAACGTTTTATCGAATAAAACGTATCTAGCAATCATATTATACATATAAATGATATAAAAAGCACATTGTTAGAAAGATAAATGATTGTTGAACTTATTAATGTTTTTTTTAAATTGATTAATTGCTATTTTTAAATAAAAAAGGGGGTTTATGATGTCCCCAAGGCATGTAAACACGATAACTTTTGAAAATATCAATTGTTTAACTCAATCTATTTTTTAATCTCTTCATCTATCATGTGGGAAGCCACTGAATGTAAATGGCAGTGTGATTTTGTTTTGTTTAGCTATAATTAATTTATTTCGGCTCCAAAATGGCGAAATATTCGTTGATTTGGTAGCCTTGTATGTAAATTATTTCTGTAAATAGGGAGCTACAGCCACAGAGTACTTTAATCACTCACTCAGTTCGGCGTCAGTCGCCGTCGTAAGTGGACATTGTTTCGGTTGTTTGCAGCGGCTCAAAAAGATCGCTGTACAAATACACAATATTCGAATAACCAAATTTATTAAATACTTGATTATAATAATAATAAGAGATTTTTTTATTACAATATTTTAAAAGCACAGAATAAATAATAGTAGTACGCACTAAAAGTGAGTAGTATCAATTTTTTCATCATGGTTGCCATTTTCATGGGTTTTGAGGGTGTTGAAGCCGATAGGGTTGTCGAAATGTAAATCCAAGATGGCGGCTGAAGTAGGTACCAAGTTTTTCATCATGGGTGTCATTTTCATGGTTTTCGAGGGTGTTGAAGGCGATAGTGCTGTCAAAATGTAAATTCAAGATGGCGGCTGCAATAGATATCAAGTTTTTCATCATGGGTGTCATTTTCATGGTTTTCGAGGGTGCTGAAGCCGATAGTGCTATCGAAATGTAAATCCAAGATGGCGGCCGCAATAGATATCAATGTTTTCATCATGGATGTCATTTTCATGGTTTTCGAGGGTGTTGAAGCCGATAGTTTTTTTTAAATATAGGATAAGGGTGACAAACGAGCACACAGGTAAGTGGTTGCTGCGGCCCATAGACATCTACATCTATCCTCGTTTGCGAATCAAAATGCAGATGCGTTTACACCCGTGAGGACTAAGATGGAATGCCTCATTTCCAGTAAAAAGGGCCTCCGGCCACCTGCACTCACCAAGCGAAACGCAGAGGTAAACCTCTACTTCACGCTGGTATTCTGTGAGGTCGTGGTACCACCCCGGTTCGAGCCGGCCCATCCGTGCGACAGCAAAAGCTGCCGCGTGGCTCTACCACTGTTTAAAATAAATAGTGCTGTCGAAATGTAAATACAAGATGGCGGCTGCAATAGATATCAATTTTTTCATCTTGGGTGTCATTTTCATGGTTTTCGAGGGTGTTGAAGCCCATAGTGCAGTCGAAATGTAAATCCAAGATGGCGGCTGCAATAGGTATAAAGTTTTTCATAATGCGTGTCATTTTCATGGTTTTCGAAGCCGATAGGGTTGTCGAAATGTAAATCCATGATGGTGGCTGCAATAATTATCAATTTTTTCATCATGGGTGTCATTCTCATGGTTTTCGCGGGTGTTGAAGCCGATAGTGCTGTCGAAATGTAAATCCAAGGTGGCGGCTGCAATAGGTATCAATTTTTTCATGATGGGTGCCATTCTCATAGTTTTCGCGGGTGTTGAAGCCGATAGTGCTGTCAAAATGTAAATCTAAGATGGCGGCTGAAGTAGGTACCAATTTTTTCATCATAGGTGTCATTTTCATGGCTTTCGAGGGTGTTGAAGCTGATAGTGATGTATTTAAACTACTTTAAAAAATTCCGTATAATCATGTTATACGTAATTTTTTTTATGCGCTTAAGGCTTGCCCAATTGGATTTACCAATTTTTATTTATACAACTGACTTCAATATAACTCAAGAACTATTGGTCACACTTATATGGGTTAAATTTATATGGGACCACGTGACGGGTATCAGCTTTCAAATAAAAAAAATAATCATCGAAATCCGTTCACCCAGAAAAAGTTATGAGGTAACATACATAAAAAATAACATACAGTCGAATTGAGTACCTCCTCCTTTTTCAAGTCGGTAGATAACCACTTAAATGGCGTTGATGTAGCGATTGTGGTCAAATATCTCATCGTAAGTTTTTTTTTATCTTTATATATAAAAATTACGTGTCACGTTGTTTGTCCGCGATAAACTCCTAAACTGCTGAACTGATTTTAATGAAATTTTGCACACTATGTGCAGTTTAGTTCAACTTGAGAGGATTGATAGGATAGTCTTTATCCCGAGGTTTTTTTTAGGAAAGCAAATGGTCGTCGGAATGGGCAGAACGTCTGCCTGGTCAGCTAGTTTAGCTAGCTAGCTAGGTAGAACCAATAAAATTGTTCTAAACGTGCATTGGATCATGTTTAAGAACAACCATCGGATTTTTTTTAAAAACAACCCACCAAGAAACAGGCAACCAACAACGACATCAATTATAAAACGAAATCAGTGACAAGTGCAACATTACAGTTTTTAGGTTATCGATGCGTTCAAGCATTCTGAATCATTCAAAATTTTAAATATTTTAGAGGAGATGCAAGATTTAGTTGATATTGATTTCGCGGGTTCGCAGTGTTCGCAAGTACCCAATCAAGTATTGGTTTATTGACATCGATGTTTCGATGTTTGACATGTGGCAATATCGATGTTAAACTATCGGTGTTTTCATTTTTGATATCGATGATCATCGAACATCGATGATCATCGATCATCCCTACTCTAAATGTCAGTCCGACTCACAGATAACACAAAAACATTAAAATAAATAAGTTATTGAACGGGAGAAAAGAACAAGCGCTCGTATTTGTAAACTTTTAGCCAAAATTCGCTATACAGCGATGGCGTTCTAATGTACAATATGTCTGAAGCTATAATACACAAATGGCAGTATTAATGATTAACATGCTTAAGTTTTAATGCAACCATGAACGAAAGCGCAGCTGAATGCTCCGAAGCTTTAGATCCTCGAGTACAGGTAAAATAATCAATAACTTTGAGGACAAAATCATCGTTCCTTAATGTTATTTGTTTCACGCGCAAGCAAATAGTAACAAAGAGAAAAAGGTGAAATATGTATGTTATTAAACATAAGAATTTCGTTATAATTAATACTGAAAAATGTTATTATATTATATCGTTTGCACTTTGTCATGCTACTTATGATGTTAAAAAATAAAGCTGCGTGCTTTATTTTAAAGTAGCGGCGTTCTAATATTTACTGGTACCCTTTAATATCATCCCATGGGTGTAGTAAGAAGCTATATAGAGAAACTGAAACTGTAAATGGGCAGCAACTGTTAACAACTGAAATAATAAAAAAATACTGCGGTTGCCCACCCGCCTGCCAAGCTTGGCAACTATGGAAAATGGATCCCTTTGAAACAATCTGTTTGGGAGGTTTTATATGTCATGTATGTCTACTTTATAATTTCAACATTAAGTAAAATAGTTTCAATAGTTTATACTGATTTTACATAGCTTAAATTTAATTAATTGTACTGGTAGAAAAATAGTTTTATATATTTTTGAAGTATAATACACATATTTTATAACAACAGTAATTCTATCAACAAATCCTACGTGGTAGAGCCATGTTGCAGCTATATTATGGTTGTAGCACGAATGGGTCGACTCGAACGGGGAAGGATCACGCTCTCACAGAAAACCAGCGTCAAATAGCAGCTTAACGCTGCTGTGTTTCGTATGGTGAGTGTAGAGAACCGGAGACCCTTTTTACTGGCAAAGAGGCATTCCATCTTAGTCCTCACGGGTGACAACGTATCTGCATCTTGAGTCTTTATTGAGGATAGATGTAGATGTCTATGGGTCACAGTAACCACTTACCATCAGGTGGACTGTGTGCTCGTTTGTCACCCGATCCTATAAAAAAAAAGAAAATTAATAAAAAGCATTGAAGTTAGGTTTTAGTCCTCAATTTATTACCCTTTAGTTTTATCTTTTAAAAATGTAATTTGTGCGATTGATTATGAGAGATCTTCACGGGCGCACATTATTTTTTTGTTTTTTGAATATGTAATATTTTTATAATCCAGTCAACTGCAAAATACAAGAAACCTCTAGATTTTGTTTTGTCTATTTTCCCTAATTTGTGTTACAATAACATAACTTTTAACAAGTTATTATAATTTTTTTTTCATTCTGGGTTTTTATTATTTACTATAATAATGCCAGGTGCTTTTAAGTATAATTTTTATTTTGTTATAAGTGGCATCATTCACCCAGTATTTATTACTCTAGAGGTGAACAATCTTTCAGGGATGCAAGCCACTCTCGAGCATGCTAGGTTGGCTTTTCTCCTCTGTGGAGAGATCCACTGTTAAAGAGGGACTGCTATAAACCCAATTCTGTCTAAGACTATTTCAATTTATTGAAGAAAATAATTTACCAGTTGTCTCTTATTTTTAACACCAAAAAATCATAACTTACAAGTACTTAGTAGTAAAATTACTGAAATCTGTCAGTCAAAATTTTTAATGTGCTTTAGTTTAGTTTAGTTTAGTTTACGACGGGCTGTTTTCCGCAACTCCACGTCTATGCGCGTATTTTGCGTGTGGGCAGGAATAATGTGATTATTCGAGCCATGAGATCTCTCCGAAGAAGCTCAACAGGCCCTTGATGTTGCATGCAACTTCGGGGAGTGATCCCGGCGTGCCGAGATGTTTAGCCCTGTATGTAGCGACCTCCGGACATTTCAATAGCACGTGGGCCGCCGTTTCTTCCTCCCCCATACATGCCCTGCACAGGGGACTATCTGTAACACCTATAGTCAATAAATGTTTGTTAAAGGTACCGTGTCCTGTGATAGCACTTGTTACTATCCTAATCTGCGGCTTGTTCAGTCTCATTAAAACTTTTGTTAAGTGACTGTTAATTTCAGGCAGGGCATCCCTAGCTTGTCTACAGTCTACTAGATTTTTCCAAAGCTGAGCGTGTTGAATTGTGAAGTGTCTACGTACCAGTGAACAAACGTTACCAAAGGGGATTGGTATGATTGGTTCCGGCCCTATAGTGGCCAAAGCCGATCCTCTTCTGGCCAGTTCGTCTGCTGCATCGTTGCCTCTGGATCCACTGTGTCCCTTTATCCATTGCAGGGTCACATTGTTGTTTTTACATACCTCATTTAATCGTTGATGGCATTCATATATTAGTCCCGAGTTCACCACATTACATCTCAGGGCTTGGAGTACCGCCCTACTGTCGGTCAGTATTCTGATGGGGAAGTCATTAACCTTCCTAGCATCTATTGCTATGGCCGCTTGAATGATACCCATACATTCCGCCTGAAAGACCGTGTTATAGGTACCCAGCGATGTGCATATGTGAATATTGAGGTCTTCAGAGAAAGCTCCACAACCTACACCTTCATTTGTTTTAGAACCATCGGTGAAAATTCTAAGCTCTTTTGGGCTTAATCCTTCCGGCTGGCTGTTTTCATTTAACTGTATCTTGTATTTCTTATCGAAAACAAATTGTTTAGGAATCCTATCGTATTTGGCTTGTAGGATAGGAATTTTTGAGTGAATTCTATCAATTATGCCTGTATGAGGGACACTATTCTTACTCCAAAGATTTAGGGTCTTGAGTCTGATGGCAGCTAAAGTCGCTTCTTGTTGTATATGTAGATGAAGCGGAGTTAGCTCCAGCATCGCTTCTAAGGCTGCTGTTGGCGTAGTTCTCATGCAGCCAGTAGCAGCCATACATGCCAGTCTCTGGTAGCGCTGAAGCTTTTTAATTATGGTGGCTTCATTTGTCTTGGTCCACCATACCAGAGCGCCGTATGTGATCATGGGCCGAATTACAGTTTTGTAAAGCCACAGTATGATTTTTGGCGTCAATCCCCATCTTTTGCCAATCATGTTTCTGCATTGCCAGAAAGTTATACTAGCTTTGTTGATTTTGTTTTCTATGTGTTTATTCCAGTTAAGTTTGCTGTCCAAGGTAAGACCTAAATATTTTACCTCAGAGGATAGCTGGAGTTTTGTGCTAAAAAGACTTGGAGGATGATAGTTATTCAGCTTTCGTTTTTGTGTGAACATAACTAAAACCGTTTTATTTGGATTGACGGTTAAGTCGTGTTCCCTGCACCATCTCTCCACTATACGGAGAGCCGCTTGGGTCAGGTCGCACACTATGCTTGCTGTCTTTCCAGAGACCAGTATTGTCAGGTCATCAGCATAACCTACTGTATAGAAGTGATTGTCATTTAATTTGCTGATGAGTTCATTAATGACCATATTCCACAGGAGAGGTGAGAGAACCCCACCCTGCGGGCAGCCTTTCTTAATTTGGATTGGTTGAGATTCACCAGCAATCTTTATTATTCGTGTACTGAGCATGTAAACTATCCAGTCGATCAGTGCCGGTTCAACTTTGTGTCTACCGAGTGCACCTTTTATGCTGGAGAAGTTCGTTCGGTCAAAAGCACCTTCTATATCTATGAAGGAACCTAGACATATTTCTTTGTTTTGGATGGCCTCTTCAATCTTTGTAATTACCTTATGAAGGGCCGATTCTGTTGATTTGCCTAGACTGTAGGCGTGTTGCTTGTCGTGTAGTGGTAAGTTCATTAGCGCCGACCCCCTTAATTCCCTTTCACACATCCTCTCCATCGTCTTTAGGAGAAAGGATGTGAGGCTAATGGGCCTGTAGGATTTAGGGTCAGTGTAGTCGCTCTTACTTGGTTTGGGTATGAATGTAACTTTCACTTCCCTCCATCCCCTAGGAAAATATTTAAGAGCAAGACAGGCTCGCATTATGGCAGCAAGTCTGACTATTAGAGCTTTACCCCCCCACTGTAGGAGTGCCGGGAATATGCCGTCGGGTCCTGCCGCCTTATAGGGGAGGAAACTGTGAATGGCCCAATGGATTTTGTCCATCGTTACCACTCTCTGTGCTAAATTCCAGTCTTCTGCTGTTGATGTCAGTATGTCGTCATGCCGGTTTGCCTCCTGGGTTACGCAGCAACCTGGGAAGTGCGTTTCAATTAGGATGCGTTGGGCTTCATCCGGCGATGTTGAGTAGCTACCGTCGGGTTTCTTTAGAGACATGGATCCCGACGTGTTCTGTTTAGCTAGAATATTCCTAATCCTATTTGCTTGTTTGCAGGTTTCTATGTTGCCACAGAATTTACGCCACCCAATCGAGCGTCGATACCTGATACATTTTTTGTATTCAGACTTAGCTTTCTTATATAATAGCCAGTCTTCATCCATTGAGGTATTCATGGCCCTATTTAGAGCTTTTCTTACCTTCTTACGTTTTCTATCGAGTTCTTTACCCCACCACGGTTGTTTTACCTCGGCATGTCTTGGTGGAGTGATTTCTGGACATGATTCATGGTAGCTGTCTATCATGGCCTTAGTAACAGCTGCTACCTGTTCTTCTAGGAGCGACTGATCTGCTATAGTATTTATCCCCTCAAAAACCGCTAGCAAAGACGTCAGCCTATTTAGGTATTTAGTTTTATCTGTCTTGCGGGGATTTCTCCATGGTGGTGTAGAGGGGATATCGACCTGTAGTGCGAAGCAGATCCATCTATGGTCTGAGCATGAGGCTTCTCTCGACACATGCCATCCCGTAATTAGTTTGGCTGCTCCTTCTGTTGCAAGTGTGAGGTCGATTATAGTGCGACAGCGTTTGTTAATGAAAGTAGGTTCAGAACCTATTTTTAAAATGGTTAGGTTAGTACTAAATAAATATTCAACTAAAACTTTACCTCGTTCATTTGGTTTTTCCATTCCCCAAAGGGGATGATGTGCGTTGGAGTCCGTCCCGATCACAACCTCTAGTCCGGTCCTCTCGCAGAAGTTCACCAGCCTGCTGAGGTCATGAGGGGGAGGAGTGTCTTCCTCCGGCATGTAGACCGAGGCGACGACTAATCTACTCTCCTGTGTGTACTGTATTGCTACGGCATACATGTCTCTAGAACAGAAATCTGTTAAAGGTTGTGCACAG